ATCTTTGAAATTCTATGCATTTTATCCGGACAAGATGTGGTAAGCGAGGTCCTTAAGGTCAACCTACAAAAATACAAGCATTTGCGATGTTAGCTAGTAGTATGAGTTATCACTATTGATGTGGGATTTGTTGTCTTTTGGGTTACTTTTAGGGGTTAAAGCTGCATTAGTTATTGATTTTACATGAATAATGAGTTTACATTATCATGAATAATCACAGGTTCTTTAGCTCTACTGTAAATCTCAATATTTCAAAAAAGTTGGGTTTAAATTAAATTAAGATTAAGCTGAAAAATGGTGACTGAAAACACTGCTGTAATATCTGTCCGATTTGATTGAAAGTAACATATTTGTAAGTTTATCTTGGAATTTCTATGTATTTTATCCGGACAAGATGTGGTAAGCGAGGTCCTTGAGGTCAATAGCCAGGTTATGAACTCAGACTATAAAATAAATCAGGGCTGGTTGCTACAGGACGACATTGGATCCAACGAAAAGTCAACCTCGATGTCTTTAATGTCACGAAACCATCTTATCGTGAAGGTCTTTAAGATCACGATTATAGATTGTTTTAAATCTTCTTGGTCCCGATAATCCTCATGTCCACGGACGACCCTAAACGCCCTGCAGTGCTTGTTCCTCACCGCACGCAACTTGACTCTCAAAAGATGGAGGAACGATGAGGAAAAAGAGCATTTCAAATATATATATGTATGTATCTGTCTGGGGGTTAACAGCGGAGGATATTACGGAGTTATATGGTCAATAATAAAATGGCTTTAACTGGAGAAGCTGTGATTGCTATTAAAAAGCCATACAGTCTAATCTTAGGTTTCGAACTTGGTTAATCTTTATCCGTAGCCGTATGCCAATGTTTATATCCCAACGATTAGCTAACCTCCGCAGCTCGACAGAGAATATACAGAGGTAGTTTTATGTACAATGATACTTCAGAAGCGAGTCAAGAATACTTCCTTGCATTCGGAAAACAAAGAGTGGAACAGGCTAGCAAGTGTGCAGGTGTGCGTCATATGAGAGGCCCCGCCTTACATCTTCCGCCACAGATTTGGGGAAATTGGTCCGTGCGCAAAGCATTGTGGGGATTTTAAGACCGCGGAGTCTACTCATGTGCAGCCTCGATATTTCTCCAAACGGAGTACGCCGGGCTCGGTAGATTTCCAAGTATGCTGGAGATTGGAACAGTACTTCGGCGGCACTCGATGACGTAGCATGCTTGAAATAGTGGCTCTGAAGCAGCTTTACTCGCGATTGAGAAACACCCCAAGACTCTGCATCTTCAGAAACGATGCAAATGTAAAAAACATTGTTGTCCAGCTTTATGTGTGCGTCACTCATTAGTGTCCCCTTGTCTCCCAGCTGTGTGCGTCACTCTTTAGTGTCCCCTTGTCTCCCAGCTGTGTGCGTCACTCATTAGTGTCCCCTTGTCTCCCAGCTGTGTGCGTCACTCATTAGTGTCCCCTTGTCTCCCAGCTGTGTGCGTCACTCATTAGTGTCCCCTTGTCTCCCAGCTGTGTGCGTCACTCATTAGTGTCCCCTTGTCTCCCAGCTGTGTGCGTCACTCATTAGTGTCCCCTTGTCTCCCAGCTGTGTGCGTCACTCTTTAGTGTCCCCTGGTCTCCCAGCTGTGTGCGTCACTCTTTAGTGTCCCCTGGTCTCCCAGCTGTGCGTCCCTTTTTAGTGTCCCCTGGTCTCCCAGCTGTGTGCGTCACTCTTTAGTGTCCCCTGGTCTCCCAGCTGTGTGCGTCACTCTTTAGTGTCCCCTGGTCTCCCAGCTGTGTGCGTCACTCTTTAGTGTCCCCTGGTCTCCCAGCTGTGTCCGTCACTCTTTAGTGTCCCCTGGTCTCCCAGCTGTGTGCGTCACTCTTTAGTGTCCCCTGGTCTCCCAGCTGTGTGCGTCACTCTTTAGTGTCCCCTGGTCTCCGTTGTGTTTGAGCTTCTTCAGCGTTTGGTTTCTGCAGCTTTTAGTAAACGCTGCGCATGTCTCCTCAAGTTGCTGAATGTTCTCTAAACGCTGAATGTGTTGTCAAGTTGCTGGAGATGTTTCTTCATGTGGAACATTTGGGTTTTTATATCTGCATCCTTTCTGAAGCTGCAGTTTCTCCAGATGGAAGAGTTTTAGGACGCTTTGTGGTCAAATAAAGTCAAGTCAAGTTGGATTTTTTATTTTATTTTGTGTGATTTGTGGCCCTTTACCTGTGCAGGAACCCAGACATATTTACAGAAACTCAGGAGCTTTAGGACCTAAGAGACTCATTCAGTCCCTGCTCCTGAGGTAGAAGGTCCAGCAGCCTTTGAAGAACACATGATGGTTTAACACACAAACCTAAAACACACCACAGATTTCATTCAGACGGGAAGCAAGCAACAGATGTTGCTTCGTGGGAAACTCTTTACATGTTGACTTTTATACAAAGTCATGCAGCCAAATTCCTAAGACTTATCTCAAAATGTGGTTTCTGCTCTACAGCCGAACATCAAACCAAATGAGTGTGTGTGTGTGTGTGTGTGTCGTATCTTTAAGAAATTAAGTGTCAAGCTAAGTTTGTAATGCTTTTAAAGTAAATGTTCTCATGTTATTAGCTGCTCAAGGTTCTTAAGACGCACCGAGGGGACTTTTAGGTCCTCATTTAGTTCCTGAGTTCAGTTCCTGGGAGTATTTGGTTTTAAAAAAGGGGCCATTAGACATAAGAGCAGAATTATGACTCTTCTTACCGTGCATGTTTGTGCAACCAGCCCTGATTTCCCCACATTTTTAGACTTTATCATGTGACTTTATCCCTGCCTGTCGTAACTGATATTATATCGGTTTAATTCATCCGTCAAGTTGAAACCAAAGTGAGTAAATCTTGATTGTTTTTGCTACCATTTATTCAGCCTCCCATGAAGA